TTTTATCATGCAATTCATTTTTCGCAACACTTTCCGCACACATGCTTAGGTACATTATGAGTTGTCTAATAATACTTTTGTTTGCGTGGGTTAGCAAAGCTACGAGACTGTTAGTCGGGCCAGTGCTTCCTTCTGACTTGGTAGAGCCACAAAAGGCAAGCTTTGTTGTGACTAGCATTTTACTGCATATTATCCCAATACTAAATGTTACAAAAGAAAGCATGTGCTTTTGTCACAGCCACAACATCGTTAATTTTAGAAGCGCATATTAACAACAAAAATATTAACTGACTCACCCACACATCGTCCGTCGCATAAGTTCCACTGTGGCCCATGAGGAAATACGATGAAGCGCATAAATATGATCGGCGGAAGTTGCTTGGCGTTTATCGTGTAACGAAATCGGCAGCATTTGTAAACAGCGCGAAGCGAATGTTTAAAACCGAGGCATCTGCTTGTGATCTGTCGTCTAACCTCCGGTGTTTCAAACGAACGTGTGCGCTTACTTCGCTTAGAGTACCAGTTGATTACTTTCTTCAAAGGTTTGGTGTACATTTGCAAAGTAAATTGACTTCCGGGCCACAAAATTTTAGGACAGGCAGATGACGATCTATTGCCAAGGTCCACAACATCCAGTTCGCAGCGTAAATGGAATATTCGTGGCAAACGTTCATTGAAACTCAGATTCTGAAATTTGCGTATGGTTTCTGTCACATCCAAATATATTTGTCTTGGACGTTTGTAAATTCTTTTCGTCAATTTGCTCACATTAGACATAATTCCAAAGCCAACTTCTTTTTCGAACAACGGCATGTAATCAAAATCAAGAATATCTTCAAGGAGTTTGATTCGCATCGTCGTAGATGTTTTGATGATTGCAGCAGATAAAAGAGCTTTCACAACTGGCGCCTTTGGCAGCCTGATATTTCTTGCAAGAATAGCGCATTTGCACTGCGGTTCAACGTAGTTCATGTGGCAGTTACCTGAGAGATGTGTCAAAATGGAACTAGACTTACGAGTGTTTACGTAGGAGGACTGTAGTTTAAAGGATGTAAATGTCCTCCGTAAATAATGGGCACATACCACCCAGTTACATGTTTAAATGAAGCTTCACAGCCAGATGTATTTGCATTTGTCATTACAATTCGTAAGCAAACAAGATGGAGACGTCTTTGTTTTGTTATAAAATGCTTACTTTCTTCTTCCTAAGTGTCATTGGTTCTTGAAATTCTGATACTCTTAACTGACTAACGTTAGAGACTAATAATTTATCTAAATGCCAATGAAGTGAACAACAAGTTTGGAAAGTTTGGCTTAGGTGGGCAGTGTTAAACATTCTCAGCCTGCTCTTATATTTCAAAAAACTAATAAAACTCTCATAAATTAGTGACATTTTTGCTTAGTACTTAGGTTTACAATGAAAATACGTGATTAGGAGACCTAAAATTTTTAATTGCTTTTACAGCTGTTGATATACGTTCAACTCATGTTTAGATGGTAAGATGCACGTACTAAAACGAGCCTTCCGCTCAGATTATTTACCACATGCTACTCCAGTGATACATCGGACAACGTGGGTATTATCAGCGGCAATCCCTAGGTGATAGCTCGCATTTATGAGAGAGGGCACTCGGACACTTACTGTGGGGAGCCAGAGGACTTGAGGTGGATGGAGTTGTTCAACTATAGTTCTCCACCATCAGACGTACAAATTTGCCGCACAAGCAATCTGTTAGACGCTGTGTACACCATCACTGCATGTCACATCGTGTCAAATGAGCTTTGTTTCCTAGTCATCACGACTCGGTTGAGATTTACTTGCTACATACAATCATTAAGTGAATAATTGTTGTCTCCATTTTCGTCCCTATAAACGCTTTAAACTACTGTGCTGTAAGTCAGATGAACTCAAACGCGACCATTGTGGTTATTTGTAGGTCTGCGTGCAGGAGCAATCTACACTAAGCTACTCTGGGTGCGGTCTTGTACATGCTACTCTGCATTACAAGAGCAAATGTTGTCCACCCCAGAAAAACCCTATACTCTCGTGTCTAGATTTGTTGGTTTAAATATGGATATCCTTCATAAAATATCCGATAAGTTTATTTTAATGATGTCAAGGCTGCAGAGAATGTTTAAGTGAAACACTTTTTGCATTCCAAGGATGAAAACATACCGATGGGTTTACCGTGAAGCTTCCCATTACTCGTGAAAAACCGTGCTTGTCTCACAGTTCTATTGTTCTGATTTTATGGTTGTTTACATACTTACTAAGCGGTTACGCTGCTACGCAACGGAAACAACATCATGTCGTTACTCCCCTCACACTATTGTGTAACTTGCTGCAGCATTTCTGGCAGAGTTTTTGCAATATCTCACAAACGCATGCACCACAATCCCTGTGCTCAAAGCTGAGGTACACTTTCGCTCAAGACCAAACATTAAGAGCTTACTGCACCTTCCTAGCTAATAACCACCAACCGTAGTGACCAGTCACTAGCATCGCATTTACCAAGTCAACGCGAACTAAATATTTGCTCACTCGGAGCGATTGTCCCTGTACAGGGGTCTATTTGTGCTTTTGTAACCGCGCTGACGCATTTTTCCAACGTCTCGCAATCAACCTATCGATAGCGGCTAACGCGTGAACTGAACACATCGCCGACGCAGCTGGCCAGCCAATCGAGAGTAAGTAGCCGAGTTTCTACAAAGGAGTTGAGGAAACAGAAGAGCATGCAACTGAAGTCGTAGAAATCAGGATTTAGTCGAGTAAATCCTGTCTCTTTCGTATGCAGACAACGAACACGAATTCTAACTTGTATCCTGTATACACTAGTTTAACTTAGGCACCGTAGATCGGCTCTCTAGCATTCGCCAAGCATAGTCCCCTCACAATCAATCTACGAAATCACTCGTCCATAACGATGAGTAGACACACATGCCCTTATAATCTCACCCAGAAAACCTAAGCAACTGCCAACTCCCAAAAACTGTCAAAATGCTTTAAGCCAACAGGACAGGGAAGTGGACCTAGTAAGCTGGTTGATTAAGGAAGGCATGCAGCCACTAAATTTACTTCTATCCAAAAGGAGACGGATAAGCTCATAACAAAACAGGCACGTTTACACCACTCAGCGACACCACTCAATATATTCGAACCTCTGAATGCCCGAATACAAACGATGGCAAGGCCATGATAGATCAACTAAAGTCCGCCAGTGTCTTTACTGATGCTGTTAAGACCGAAATTTATAGCGTATTACGAAGTATTAAAATCAAGGTGGCTCTTAATTTGCCAGATAAACAGCTTGTGGGAACACTGCGGAAATTCCTGCTTAATGCATTTAATGTGAGTAACACTCGGTGCAATTATACAATGCACTGAAGAAACGTTTAGTGCAAAAGCTACTCCATAGTGTGAACATTAGTTCATCTGACCCATTGGATACTCAAGTACCACAAACATATTAAGTCTCTTGGTGGCAGCCGTGGTGCTCATAGGGAAATTTCTAATGTACCAAATCACTCTGCATCCTCTAACACCACATTCATCTAGGCTGCTTCATGGCGAATACAGTGGAATGCCACCGGACCCTCCGGCAAATATGGCTATATCCTCACTACAAATGCTCCTGAACTACTCATACTTCGTTAGCAGATATTACTGCCTGAGATTAACGGTGCTATGGACATTTTATTGATGCTCGTCCAACACATTTGTCGACTCTTTAATTGGTCCTCGTTACCGAAATGCGCTCTATTGACTAGACACGAGGATCACCTTACCATATCATAGAACCTATTAGTTTCATTAAGAGCCAAAGCAGTAAGTAAGCGGAGGTTGCGTGATATTCATCGATGAAAGCATTCCGGCCTCAACTTTGGTTAAGCTGATGCTTGAAAGTTTAACTGATTCCGTTTGAATAATAGCCATAATCAATCAACACAGTTTCCTCATAGGATGCATGGACATTTCAAACACAGTAGCAATACCGAAATCCGACATTTCGCGACATATTTGATCGCACCAACAATAGTCAAGTCGGTGCGGACTTGACATGCCAGAATTATCGTAGCGCACCTAGGCTGTTTGATGTGGTTACACTATTTGTTTACAAGGCTGGTCACAAGAAGTTTCATCTCAACACGAAATAACAAGATTCTAGATGTTGCCTTTACCTTAGACATTTCTGATGGAAATGTTTAATCCTGGCCAAAATTCCGAACAATCGTTATAACGCAGTGCTATTTAGTTCTACTCTGCTCACCTGAACCTTGAAGGCCGTGCAAATGGTGTATTCTACCAGCCATACTGTTTGATCAGCTCGGACATCTCTGCATTGCCAGTAATATCCATAATGTTGGATCGCTTCTTCCTCCCATACGATTCGGAAGTTATTACTGATACCCTCTAGCTTAAAATCGACAGATGTTTCCACACATACGCTCCAGTTTTGCTAAATAAACACTCTCACACTGCTGCCAGCGATCGTACCAGCACTCTCGCTAAACGGAAGATCAGTAAACTACACAGTGTTTGCACGAAATCTCCTAAATTCCTCATGCTATATCGTGTCCATAATACACCATACAAGTTAGAGTCTACCAGAAGTGGGAGAGCACCTCAAGGACAAATTCGAGCTATAGTGAGTTTAAATAGGCCGTAGTAGCTTATGAAACGTCGCACTAGAAGAGCAAAATGCAGAACCGACTGAATCACGTCCGTTGCATGACAGTCTCTGCATCAACGGATGATTCTGTTGTCATTATAATCTTTTAAAGAGCGTTTTGTTTTAAAAGCAATGTAGATGAACTGGAGAACATACTGTCAAAACGGCTTACAGGTGGCACCTTGCGAAGAGAAGATTCTTACCTTTCAGAATAAGGAAAATGCTCAGCTCCTAAAAGGCGTATTCTTACCAAGGTCAGGTTTAAAGGTCTTTTTAAAGGTTAGTTTTATTAAAAAACGGAGGTCCCAAAGTCCCTATCTTTTTCGAAGCATCTTTATCTCATTAATGAATGCAAGCACTGCACCAATTCACTGGAAACACGCTGATGCTATACCACGGTAAAAATGCTCAAAACAGAATGTTACCACTTACACTTTATAAGCCATAATTTCATTATCCTTAAGGTTATGGATAGGATTATGAATTCTATAGCTTTGCGGTTTTATATATTAAGGAGCCTAACGGTGTAATGACATATCTTTAATGCACACCGTTCACCTCATTCCTGCCAGGAAAAACCCCTAAATCGAATTTAAAGCTTACTTGACGAAGGAAAAGTTTTTACCACCAAATTCCTTGACATTGCAGACGCTTTCGGTCAAGTGCCCTTTGGAAGGCTTTCGACATCTATGGCAGGGTACAGCATTATCAGATCTATGCCTTTTGTATTCTCTTCACGGCTTCCCGATAGAACACATGCAGGCACGTAAGCAAGTTCACACCCAGTTGTCCTCAGGCGACAAGTGACGTCATTCAAAGCATCGTTCTAGGTCACTACAGTACTTGACATTTGTAAACATCATTTTTAATTTAGCCTCTTTGTTAGACCGTACATACTTGTTATATTATACAAAAGCTGTGTATATATTTGATATCTAGGGCTAGAATTAAATAATGCAGGCTGATAATTTTGACCTGAACGCAAGTGTTTCACTTCTAAAATGAGTTACTCCTTCGAAGAGAATATTGCCATCTCCTACAGATGTGATAGAAATGCCTAATTGCTCGCATTCTTCAGTAAATCTCTCGGATGTTACAACCCAGTCAGATACTCAGGGCCTCGAAATTCCAATAACGTTAACTTCCTAGTGAATGTACAATGCACAGTCACGGAACTCAGGAAAAGCATGTATTGTTTCTCAAACTCCTCACCCTACCAAATGTCAAACTTATACTGTACATGATTTGCACACACCCAGATTTGGTGTATTTGGTGTAAGGGAATCGGCAGTGGAAAGCAGTGTGACAATGCG